TCTTATAGAAGTCCTTTTATTTATTGTCAAATTTGCTGACTTCTCTTCCTCTGAAGAATTCATGTTGTTAATGTCATCATCAGAAGTAAATGCAAAACAAAAAATGGCTCAACAATTAAAAACCATTTTCAATTATTCCTATTCCCTTCAAGTCTGAGTCATTAATTATACATCATATCTACACAGTGGTATTGTTATATGTAAATAGAATTTCAAAATCTGTTCTACTTAATATTATATCCTCTGTATTTTCTCACAAGGATACATAGAAATCTGAATGGTTATATTCTTCTATGATCATACATGCAATGATTTCTAATTGTGGTGTTATACAACAAATTTTTTTCTTTATATAGTTCTTTCTTTCCTTCTTTTTTTTTTTTTTAGATTGTTTGTTTCAAACTTCAGCACACTTCAGAGTAACCTGAAGGGCTTGTTGAAACACAAGTGTCTGATTTAATGTCAGGATGAGGCGATTCCAACAATCCCAGATGTTACTGATGCTGCTTATCGGGGGATCACTTTTAAAAATTACTGCCAGATATTTACATAGAATATTGTCACCATTGAATTGAGGTTGTCAAATAAAATAGTTTTGTTTTTTTTTTTTATCCTCACCCGAGGACATTTTTCCATTCCTTGCTCAGATAGAGTGGGAGGGAGAGAGAGGAATGGAGAGAGAGAGAGAAACATCGATGTGAAAGGAACACATCGAGTGGCTGCCACCCGCACGACCGACCAGGGCTGGGGACAAACTGCAACCAAGGTACATGCCCTTAGCGGGAACCGAACCCGGGTCTCTCAGGACCGCAGGCCGACGCTCTAACCGCTGAGCCAAACCGGCCAGGGCTCACATAAAATAATATAGATCTTTTATGGCATCTGGAAACCTTTCCCACAAGCTCATACACATTAATATTGTCATCTGTCTTCTTGAGAGCCTGGGTAGAAACGAACTAACTGAATGAACAAATGAACAAAGGAAAATTCTTACTTCTCTTCTCCCCAAATAACAGTAGGCCTGAGATCCATCTATTCACATTTTAAAGATATATAGCATGGCTAAATGGTAATATCCAAATCTCTGTTACTTCAGAAATCAAAAGGAGGTTTTATTATCACTGTCCAAATTCAAAAGTCACTGAAAAATAACTGAAATATTTATACCTTCGAGGAAAATAAATTTGTACTTGCACCACACAGGTATAAGTTAGCTGCATTTATCTTGTCTGCCCACCAGACTGGTTAACAACAATGTTGCTATTAAAAGATGTAGAGCAAAAATATGGCTTTGAAAATTATTTTTGATAACTTAGAAACAAGAGAAGTCCCACTTTGGCCAGGGATTATTAGCATGATTATCTAAAAGCCACAGTCAAAAACCTCAAAGGTTTTCCCTTGTACTATTGGATTCTTTATATTTGGGTAAAGATTAATTCCCTCACCTTGAAATGGAGACATATGTACATAAGCAAACATGCCTTCATAAGCATATAGAAGCATTAAACAAATACACGCTAGGTAGTCATGTGTGTGAAGTATCCATTCACACACTGATTTCTAGAAACCCACAGATAAGACATATGCTTAGCAAAGATATCATCTGCAGAAAATGTCTTCTGGGCTCTTTTTCTGTAATCTTTTCACATTACTATATTTTTCACTCTTATTTGCTGTTACTGGTCTGTTTTAATCTATAAAGAGAAGATGTGTTCATATACATAATAATCATAAAACCATATGTAAGTAAAGTGATTAGGTGCTGTCAACAAACCTTGGAATTTGGTTAGCAATGAACTTGTTAAATTCAGGGTAAACGTGTTACATGCAGACTTAAGAGAATCTTGTATTTATCAATTTCTAAGAGAGAGTTGTTTTCTGAGTCAGTTTTGACAAATGCGTTGTCTTTAGGTTCAAGCTAAGTCAACAGTCTTACCAACAGCCTTAAAAGACAATTGTTCTTTTCATGGCCAAGTTCATTATGGCCATAAGAAGACACTGCTGTTCTCAGGATTGACAGAAAACCAGGGGATAAAAGTTAAGACACCGCCTATTTCATTGTATGTATGTTTTATAGGATAATAGGCATAAATGCATCTGCTTATTGTGTATTATATAGTAAATATGACCATATTTAGCAGCCTCAAAAAAGATATGGCAAAGTTTAAAATATGCCAATGTAAAAGTAAGAAATGCAGAACTTGCAGACACCGAGGTGATCATTACCATAGTGTGCGTGGGAATTTGATTAAAGGCACTTACTACTTAATCCAGGTGTTCAGAGGACTGTAAAGTTCATTGGCAGCAACAACCATACGATCATTTGAAAATCAATACCTCTGAGGGCTTTCTTTTTTAAACTAATAAGTTCCCGTTCCTTTTAGTGAGTTAGTGCAGAATGACAATCAATTAAATATAGTCCCTGACACAAATTAAAAGCACTAGCCAAAGTGTACACTCCTCAGTGAGACGACATTAATTTGTGCATTCAGTGAAGGGAAACAAATTGGGAGAAAATGTGCAATAAATGGTGCATATGGTTAGCCTGTGAAATTTCAATTCCTAAACGCAAGGGAACGGGAGGTCAAAAGCCTCCAGGGATAACCAGAAACAACAGAGGAGTCCTTTTAGCACCGCTACCCTCATCAGGGTGGGAATGGACCCCTGACACGCCAAAGGATAACCATTTCAATAGTTATATGTTAATAGATGTCTCCCTTTCTTGACAAATTGTTTTACTTTCTGATTTAGGCAGTCATAAAAAAATTCCTTTTAAAAAATTAAGACATGAAAAAACAGGTTAATTTTAAAGGGAATCTGTTGTAAAAAAAAAAAATAGTTTCCATTATACGTGGACAGTGTAAAATGAGAAAAAGTGAATGACTCGCGTTGGTTAAAACTTGTGTCACAGCAGTATGACGCCATTCAGTGCACAACCACGCTGCAGTGAAGTCCCTTGTCACAGCTGCCCTGGAACACGAGCAGCATGACACGGAGTGTGCACACTAGGTTGTGCGTTACACACTGGTATTTAATTCAAACGCTACCACTAGGGAAGTTGATGCAATATTTTTCAGGAAAGTAAATCCCAATTCCTCTATAAACAGTACATGCACAGACTTTACCAAAAGGAAACCATTTTTTGAAAAGAAATGGAACACCAAAAAATTTCTTAAATGTTGACTAGAATGTATATTTATGTTATTAATAAATACAGGTAAATTCTTTGAAAATAGACTAAATATGGAAGATCAGACAGAAATAAATATGTTATATATATATGTATATATACGTATATACATACATACATATATATATATATTTTTTTTTTTGCCTGCAGACATCAGGTTACATTAGAAGGAAATGTATCTGATTTATTAATTATGTGTTTTGTCAATGCTTCTAACATAAAAAGGATCATTGTTTATATGAATAAAACCCTGTTTTGCTTCAGGCTCAGGGGCCTAATATTGTCAGGGAGCCTGAGTCTCAACTGAGAAAGGTCAACATAGTAAAATTTAAACACATCTTTGGAATTACTAAATCAATATTTTTAATGTACTAGAGGGAAAGCAGACGGCTTGGCTAAAATAAACCTGTGTGTTATCCTCATAGGAGGAATGAGAGAACAGGAAGCACCGAGGGGCACCTGCTTATCCAGGTGAGGCTGTTCTCCCGGGTCTGTACACCAACCCTAATGATACCCTATCGCTAGATCCCTTTGTGTTCCAAAATGTCAGCTATTGCCCAAAATTTCCCCCCAATCAATAAACATTGACCTCCATTAGATTAAAATTAAAAAATGATTGACATTTTTTTGAAGGCTAATTATGATGAAACTTTTCTTCAACTAACATGTTGTAGAACCTTAAAAAAAAATTTGTCACAAATGATGTTCAGTCAAACATTGAAATTAAGGAAACATTACACAGATAAAATTTCACTGGGCCAACACTGATTTGAGTACTGGTTAGAATGGTCATTGATTATACTAGATATACACATTCAAATCATTCTGCTCTACAAAATAAAACAAGCAAGATATTTGTAACATATTCAAAAGAAAAGAGACTAAAGGCTCCTTTGAATCAAAACCTCTACTATTTAGAAAATGACTAAAAAATAAAGTAGATAAATACTTATCAATTTCAGGTTTCTGGGAATGTATCAGTGCTATATATTTCATTTTCTCATTTCTGAGAAGAAGAATTCTTGGTCTAATAAAAAGTCACAAACTTACTCTGAGAAATTAAGTTTTCTTGATTATTACAAAAACAGATCACAAGTAAATGGCCTGGAATGTGACTTTATTGAGCCACTAATTATAATCTAACACTGCTCATGACATCTGGTTAGATTTCTAATTAGGACCATTGTAAAATGGAGAGACCACCCAACCATCATTCATTGGCATAGGTCCACCTTTCTTTATTCACCGCAGAAAACTAAGTAAGAAATGATTGTCACCATTTTAACCATGCTATTGTAATGACCTTTCATTCCCATTACCCTGGTTCATAATCCAAATTTCTTAAAAATCATGTTCAAGTAATTTGAAAGTTATCAGGACCAACAGGATGATCTTCCTGATAAAAGACCAGGGTAAAATACTGATTTCTATTTCCCAATGGGTGTGTGTGTGTGTGTGTGTGTGTGTGTGTGTGTGTACAGGGGGTAGGGGGTGGGGGTAGTTCCTGAAACTACATGTATAAACCAAAAAGAAGTTGTTTTTCCTTTTCCTCATTCTATTTTCTCTCTATGATCTATTTGGTGTGCATGCTTGTATATATGTAAAAAGAGATAGTTCTATCTATTTATCCCTCAGCAATAATTATGTATGATACATTTAAAAATGTTCATACCTCATGTCTTCAAGTCCAACTGTAACCATCACAGGGGAAGTCCCTGCTTAGTTATTGGTCATATTTTCCTGTAACCCCCAACTGAAGTCCTGAAAGTTTCATAAAGGACAAGATATCAAGCGAAAAGTAAAACTTTACCCTAATGAAGAGGATCTTTTCTCCCACTCGGTATCTTCCTTGAGAGAGCCTCTCCACACAGAATTTGGTTGGGCATTTGCAAGGAGGATCCTCAGAAATCCTTTTCACCTAAAACAGAAGCGCAAGTTCATTCTCCTTAACCAAGTCCCCTTTCGACTCATCCGCTCTGTGGGTTCAAGGGACCCTGGAACATTACTACTTTTAAATTTGTTCTATATCAGACAATGAATATGACATGAGCACAGAAACAGCACATTAAGTTCTAACTGTGTGATGGTCGGGCCCAGAAGGCACTTCTGAAGGCCAATACCTGCACTAAGGCACAAGCAGGATGGTGACGACAATAAGCATCCTGGAGGACAATGAGGAGCAAATCAACTGGTAGCGTAAGAATGATGATCCGGGTTCTCATTTTGGGAGGAGTAAAGAGATCATGTACATTGGGTTGCCAAGATAAATATACTGAAAACTAGAATAGAATGTATGTTGACATAGCATATATTTCCTCATAATTTTTTAAGGTCACACAATATAACATTTTATTATTTTAAGATGGAGAATAATTTAACAATATCAACGTTACCCATTTCAAAATAAATGAGAATCAAACAATTTTTAAATGAGACTACTATTTCATCTTAATTTTTGTCTTGAAGAATTCATCCCCAATTCACCCAGGCTCACCCCGCAATTCATTCTATCTCAGCAAGTGCCACCTACCAAACCTTACTTCTGTGGCAGTTTCTTACAATGTACATGCATTTCTTTCTCTCTCTCTTTCTTTCTTTTTTTTTTTGGTAAAATTGGTTTTGCCCATGAAATTTATTTTTTTTAATTTGTTATTATTGTTGAAAGTATTACAGATGTCCCCCCTTTCTCCTCCCATTGGCCTTCTCTACCAGGCTCCTCCCACCCCAGCCTTCCCCACACTATTGTCTGTGTCCATGGGTTATGCATATATGCATATACGTTCTTTGGTTAGTCTCTTCCCACCCCACTCCCTTTGCATTTCATAGAACCCATGTGCAAATATCAGAATTTATCTTTTATCTGTCCCCCTATTCGTAAAAAATACCTTACCTAAATGATATGTGCACAATGCTTATAAATAGTTGCAACTATTAGAAGACAGTGTATAGTCCATGAATTTAGTAATCAATTTTATTTATGTTTTTCTTGATTGGGAATCTGTCATGCTGTGTCTCATAACTTTCCTCCCTTCAACTAAGTAACCCACTAACCAACCAACCAACCCAAAACAACAAGTTCCTGTGTTTTGAATCAAAGATCTAAACAATGCACAGCCTGTATTTGAGAAGCTACACAGAACAAATTTAGTTTCTGAAAGGATTGGCTTGGGTTCTCCCACTCAAATTCTTTCTTCCACAAAGACACAGTTCCTAGAGTTTTGTCATCAATGATATTCAATCATTCCCTCAAATAATGCAACATCTGACTTCCATCAACCTACTATTAAACAAAAACTGTGGAAAAAGCAACATATGAACTCAACTGTGTGTTGGTATAAATGACTTAAATAGCTTGGTTTCCCTAGACTGAGAGATTCCAGAGAGTATGGAAGCATAAAACTAGAGAAAAATATAGAAGAAGTGGAGAAATCCTTAATAAAACTTATCTTAAGAATTAAACAATTATGCCTCAGGGAAGACTTATGAAGAAAAACCAACTGGGGGAAAGAGACCCGACTTTGGGATACATATTTTCATCAGTCCCTTCTAGAATCCCAAATTCTGCCAACATGTACACCTGTACTTCTTAAAACTTATTCTTATATCAAATTGTATATCAGTTAACCTTAATTTGTCTTTGCTAGATTGTGAGTTACTTAAGAGTTAAGTATTTAAGTATTTCATTACAGTTTTAAACCCTTGAAATAAAACATAATGCCTTAATGGCATATAGTATGTATTCAATAAATGCATATTGAGTAAATAAATGAATGGATAAATAAAAACAAGCCTATACAGAACACAGGGGGAAATTAGTGCAACAGATTAAGAATGGATTCAAAGAATCTTACAGATGACTTTCATTGAAAAATGAAAATAACTGCTTAGCATCATTAAGTTAGTGATGAGGCCCATGGATTTGAGTTCTACATTTTTTCTACCATATTATACTTGGCCCACAGATGCATCCACCCACTCCCCCAATAGTAACAGAATTCTGTCCCTAGGGACCTTTCTGAATGGATAATCTTGACCAAGATGGTGATAACAGAACAATATGTCAGCATCATAACAGCACAAGGCCCACACTTTAGCAGAGCTCTGTTTGGCACAGCTTTACTGCCACATAGTAAGTGAGAAAAGGGTAAATTGGTGTTCAAGTTGTTCCTCTGCTAAGAAATGACAATCACAAGTGTGTATGCAAAGTGTTTCCATCTGAAGTGTTCTTGGACAAAACACAGAAACTGCTGGAACGAGTGAAATACAAAATACATTTTCTCAAGTGGCCTGCTCCTCTGCAAGGCCTCCCCAGCTTTGAAAATGGACTTGTTTTGGTTTGGTTTTGTTTTGAAATCAAGGGCTTTTTAGTAGCGTGAGAGGTGGAGGCAGAAACGGAAGAGACGAGGCCAGACTGTGGGTAGTGGAAATATATTGTTAAGTAAACAGTGACTGATGACATCTGTGCTTCTTACATTACTTGGGATAAGTCAGTCTGGCAGGTGTTCCGTTTTGGGCCAGGAACCCAGCCAGTTTTCTGCTGAAATGGGATTTCAAGAGGAGCCTGATTACTTAGAATTACACTATCTCTCATCCCCAGACTGAGGAAGTCGACGGAGAAGAGGAAGACAGTGAGAATGGTTTCTTAGAGCTGTATTCAGCTCATTGTGTGGGAACCAGCTCAGCAGGAGGGTTTGCAGAGAGAACTAAACCCGACCCCACATCTTATCATGGCTGAATCACTCTGCAAGGACAGTGGGGGGATGAACTAATCTGAATGGACTGCACTGTGTGTTCTCTAATGATATCTTGATTAAAGAAGGTGGGATGTATTATCCACATAAAGGGTCACCTATTTTTTTTTTTTTTTTTTTTTCAATTTTCCACATTTCCCTTGCGTAGCAGATGAAGAAATGTGAGGAAGCTTGCAGTTTCAAAACTGGCAGTTACTGCTGAAACTGTTCACTGGAATATGGTGTCTTAACAGAGTTCTGCTTTTCTTACTCTCCCTTTTTCTTTTTCTTTTCTTTTACTTTTTACCCTCACCCGAGGACATTTTTCTTTTTTTTTCCATTTTTTGTTCAGATAGAGTGAGAGGGAGAGAGAGGAAGAGAGAGACAGAGAGAGAAACATCGACATGAAAGAGACACATCGAGTGGCTGCCACCCGCACGACCATCCAGGGCCGGGGACAAACTGCAACCGAGGTACGTGCCCTTAGCGGGAACCGAACCCGGGTCTCTCTGGACCACAGGCCGACGCTCCAACCGCTGAACCAAACCGGCCAGGGCCCTTTTTCTTTATCTTTTCTCTTTCTTCTTTCTTCTTTTTTACCCTCGGTATTCTTTAATTCCCCCTATGCTCCTTCATCTTTTCTTTCTTTCTTTTTGATACAAATAACAACTTTGCCAGAGCAGAAACAGCCAGCACTTGTAGCTGAACCAGGGACTGTGCAAGCCGGCTCCATTTTGCATCCCCGATTCTGAAACAAATTGGGCAGGTGAATTTCGACTTCCCCTACATGCTTCATGCGCAGGGAATCAACTGCCAAGGCAACTATTTCCTTTTTAGGTTTGACACAGAAGCTCTGATTTCAATCACTACTGAAGCTCCAATTAGTTTCTCTCTGTTCCACTCTGTCCCTAAAATAAAACACTTCGGTGAAAAACGGTCCCTTGAACAGAATGCAAATATGTCAGTGCAATTCCCCAACATAGTAGGAAGGAGACTTATAAGAGACTTCTGTGGCCAAATAATTTGGAAAATTCCAGGTCAAACAAGATCTTGTGTGGGACCCACGAGTGCCTTTGATAGACCGCGGGGCGCCACCAACCCTGCGCTGGGGACACACCGAGCTATTTCTCACACTAACCTAACCATGGAATTCTTTTCCCTGCGGGGCATCTGGGGGTGTCAGTATTTGATTAAACATTCTGGGAGAGATGCTGGTTTACAGACTTCCAGAACACAGTATTCTAGCTGGCAATGGGACAGAAATATCCAGTCTGCACATTTTGAACATCCGATTAAAACCCCTTAACTAAACAGATGGTTATGTTCCCAAATGCTGGTCAACTTTAAAGGGGGTTCAAAGCTCTTGTGTGATCCCTTCATTGTTTCTAGTCGAGAGACTAGAACTTGGAGAAGGGAGAAAACCATGGAGTGACAGTCTTTGCCCCAGACTTTTCCAAAATCCCTTTCATAGCTGTTTCTCCACTTCCTCCCTCGTGTCCCTTTCCTCCCCTTCTTGAGGACGACGGATGGATATACATGGGACACGCTGGTGAAGGAAGGGACCCGTCCCGGCTACTTCTCCCAGGTTCATGGAAATGGCTTCAAGGGACAACGGCTCCTCCCCCTGCATTTTCACAGCACATGACCGTTCCGGGTAAACAGAACAAGGAAGAAGCTTTTCTCAACCTTCATTACCCACCGTGATAATCTATTCAACAAAAACGGCGCCAACGGACATGGATTGATAAACTACGGTCCGTGTCTTTAAGAACAAGGACTGCACATAGAGAATAATGGGTCTGTATGCCCAATAAGGTAAATATTTCATGAAATATATAAAAACACTTGGGCATCGAGGACCAATTTGTCAATTTTACCTGTTTTGGGAGATGCTGAGGAAAGCTTTATATCGAAGGCCACACAACCTGAATTTTACAAGATGACAAGGTGTTCAAAAGTAGATTTCAAAGGTGAATAGGTGTATGTACGGTGAGGAAAGCAAAGGAGGAAGAACACAGGGCATAAAGTGTCCTTAGGAATTTGGGGTTAGCGGCATCTCTACAGGGGATACCTCAGAGTGCCAGGATGAGTCGAAAGGACAGTACAGCTGAGAGAGACAGAGTAGGCCAGCACCTGGAAGCTTACGTGGCATAAACGACTTGGGATTTACCCAGGATGCTAAAGGGGACCCTGTAGAATTTTCATCACACCTAAGTTGTATGTAGGTAACAATAACAGTTATGAAGAATAATGTCAAGAATGTACTGTTCAACAGTGTCAAACATCAGAAATTAGCCTCAGAATTTGAGGACTAATAAATGCATTTGATTGAGAAATTCATTCATTAGGAGGTTAAGGGTGATGCTGGCCAGAGCTCTGACTAGAATGTGTTAAAGAAAATGAGTGGAGGTGACAGCTGGAGGAAAAGGGCTAAAATCTACTGTAGTGCCCTGGCCAGTTTGGCTCAGCGGTTGGAGTGTCGGCCTGCGGACCAGAGAGTCCCAGGTTCGGTTCCTGCTAGGGGCATATACAAAAAAAAAAAAAAGAAAAAAAAAATCTACTGTAGCTGCCCCAGAGATACACATTTATAAAAGACTAAAGGAACATCTTACTCCAAAATAAGTCTAATAAAAAAAGTATAATTGAGAGGGAAAAAAAATTGTTCTCATCGATATATAAATAACGCACTATTATCTACTAGTGATACAATACTTCAACTATATTTTATTCAATTAGCTCATTAAATAAATATGAAATACTATAAAAATCTAGGCATGTCACTGATCCTTAAAAACAGTCCTGTGATTTTAAAATATTTTTAAAATATGTTTTTATTGATTTTTTTAGAGAGAGGGGAAGGGAGAGAAAAATAGAAACATCGATGTGAGAGAGAAACATCAATCGGCTGCCTCTTGCACGCCCCCCCACTGGGGATCAAGTTCGAAACCTAGGCATGTGCCCTGACTGGGAACTGAACCAGGACCTCTCAGTCCATGGGACAATGCTCAATCCACAAGCCACACTGGCCAGGCTTAAAATTTTTTCAAATGGTATTAAAATGTCCTTGCCTAGCCCTGGCCAGTGTGGCTTAGTTGGTTATAGCATTGTCCTGTGCACCTAAGGGTGTGGGTTTGATCCCTCATCAGGGCACATACCCAGGTTGCAGGTTTGATCCGTGGTGGGGGTGCATAAGGGAGGCAACTGATTGATGTTTCTCTCTCCAATCAGTATTTCTCTCTCTCTCTCTTCCTAAAATCAATAGAAAACAGTAAATATCCTCAGGTGAGGAGAAAACAAACAAACAAAAGTCCCAGCCTATTCTTTGATTCCTGAATGGACTGAACAAAAGAAAACTAAATTAAACTCTTATTGGCTAAAACACCTAAATAGGTGAAGTTTAAGTTTGCTGCCCTTAGCAAAAACGGGAATTCTCAATCTGTCAGAAAAATAGTTCTATTTCTGCTCATCTAAATCTGTATTATAAATTAGAGTATCAAATGGCAGAAAGCAAAAGATGGGGAAATCTCTCTCTCTGTATGGTGTCGTGCCGGTCAGCCACCGTCCCAGCTCTGTGCAGCTTCGACCCTGGAGAAAGAAACCCTCAGTGACGGGACTGCGGTCCTTTCTAGTCCTGTCTACTCCTATGATGGGCATGCTGGTTGCTGCTAGTTTCTAAGGACTCTCCCCATGTACATGAGACATACTTCACTCTAACATTTCTGACATTAGACGGAACGAGGTGACTATTTTCTATGACACAAATAAGCATTTTTTCCATCTGCACTCAAAAATATATGTTCTGGGAGGTAAAGGCACACACAGAATCACACACACAACTTATAATCAGGAACTGCTTAACAAGCAATAGAGGTAGCCAGCGAGCTTAATTCATCCTGTTTGCTGTTGCACCCAGAATGTTTGCTGGGATTTGGAGGGTATCATGAAGATAGTTCCTGATCTGCCAACGACTGTGACTCGGGCCTCTGCTGCATAGAGGAATGGGGACCTCAGAGTTGGACACATTTGTGTTGGAATCTAAGCCTCCTCACCTTTCCTCAGCAGGCAATGCGACTTCTAAGTGTGTGTGTTCTCGATAAGAAGCCTGCCTTTCAGAGGCAGAGATTTCTTGAAAAACAGCGCTAGACCCTGGCAGCTGGTAAGGGCGTCTGCTCCGGGATGTTTGCTTTCCCCTTTAACAATCCTCCAGATCTCATGCATCAGCCTTCTTCTCTGTGCACGGGGAGCCACAGCCAACGACAATAGGTTTAAGTGTTTTCAGAGCCAACTTCCAGGAAGTTGATTTATTATCTTAAAAGTTGAGATACTACTCAGCAGGATTAAGTGACCACACTATTTGAAATGAGGGACTCAGTCCTGAATCTCAAAATGAAGTAGAGAACTATAAACTTTTTCATAAAAGTTTAAAATGAATTTCAATAAAATTGAACTAGGTAAAGGTTAGACTGATAAGAGGTTGTACAGAATGAGTTCTGAAATTCAAAAAGGACTCAGTGGTAGTAAGACGTCTGACCACTTTTACTTACTGCATCATCCAGTAAGTTTCCTGTACTCTTTTTTCCAGAAGACTTTGATGAAGGAGACGGTGAAGGAGAAGGGGCAGAAAGTGTTTCTTCTTGTTCAATCTCTTTTTCCAATTTTATCAAACCAGGAGGTTCCACACCATACCTTTTAAAAGATATCAGATCAATACATATACATAACTTATAATGATACACTTACCGTATGTTACATCTGATTAGACACACTACAGCAACAAACTGATCAGTTTTAAAAACAATATTAACTTTTGCCCTGGCTGGTGTGGCTCAGTTGCTTGGAGCATCATCCCATGCACATCCCAGGCTGTGGGTTTGATTCCCAGCCAGGGCACATACCTAGGTTACGGGTTTAATCCCCAGTTGGGGTGCATATGGAAGGCAATTGATCAATATTTCTCTCTCACATTTATGTCCCCCCCCTCTCTATAATCAATAAATAAATTCTTAGGTGAGGATTAAAAAAATACATTAACTTTTCCTGGCATGAAATGGAAAGTTTTAAAATGACATCCTTGTAAGCAGGGGAAAAACATATCTGCTGTGTGTGTGTGTGCACATATATAAACAGACACACAACAAATAACACACTAAGATTAAATAAAATCTAATACGTATATTGATAGTAGGCATGTAATATATTAATAAGTTAATAATATAAATTATCATAAAATTTAATCTTCAGCTCTCATATTTACTAGCGCATGATATGAGTGTTATAATTGAACTTCTATTTTGGACACAGGCTTGTTAGAGCTGGGAATAAAATCAGGCAGAGCCAAGTTTGAAAACAGCAATCCCAAAATAAACATTCTTAAATGATTTAGCAGAGAAGAAATTCACTGTTAATTTTATACCTCCTATGCGTCCAGGAGCAACGGACCATGGGATACAGGTTATTCTCTTAAGAACAATACAATGAAAGCATGTCTAATGTTACTAGGGAAGAAAATGAACAGAGAAGAAAGAGAAACAATTCAGAATAACAATATGTTAAAAATTGTATCTTGTAAATTATAAATGCCATAGAAGTTCAAAGCGAGAGAGAGAGAGAAACAGACAGACAGACAGACAGACAGACAGGTAGTAGTTACCAGCATTCTTGTCTCCCATAATCATATTTTTCTTAGGCTAAACTTAAAATTGATTTGATTTCTTAGATGTACACCAACTGTACCCAGGTGGAGGAGGCGAAAGGTAACTGCAGAACGTAAGGGCTGAAAGGACCTTGGGGGTCTAGCTACATACTTCCATCTGTACAGCTAAGAACCAGATCCAGTGAAGGTGCAGAACTAAGCAGCAGCTGGACAAAGAAGTAAACCTCGGTTCTCTGACTTCGGGAGGCTAATTTTCTCTCACATTTTAATCAGGTGATCATGTGTTAGAAAGGAGAAGAAAAAGTCACAGGTTATGGCTAATCTGCCAAGTAAATGATCTATAGATAGAGAATAAATATGTTGACAATATGTCTAGTATCTTAGAGTGAGTAGTATATTAAATCAGTATTAAATGTAAAAGCGTAGATTACTCTCTTGTTCTAATGGCTGGTTATTTTAACTGACATCATTACGTGTGCTTAGTAGACTTTTTTAGGGGGAAGCAATTTCCTCACTCTTGTTGTTTTCTTCTTGTAGAAGGCACTCAATTAGTTTAATTCCTGGCCTCTCTCCTTCATTACTCACTCCTTTCCAAGAAGACCAAAGGATTTATCAAATAGGTAAGTCTAAGAATAAACCGAGCATGCTTGACTCAGTTTAGCTTCTTCTAGGGACGAAACTGTCCACAGGACAGTCTCTATGGGAACCCCCAGCCTGACTCATCTTTGCTTGTAATTAGGTGGTTAATTAGCCTAATTCTGCAATTCCATTAAAGACAATAAGCATGTCCGTCAACTCAGACCTCATTAGTAACAAAGATGATATTTGATGTTCCGTCTGTCACTCATTTATTGTCTATGATTTTCAGAATTTAGCTGGCAAGGACAGGTATTATGTATCAGGTGCCTTCTGAGTGCTGGCAAACATGTTAGAATCCAGTATAAAGAGGTTAAACCGGCACAACTCAACTCAACAAGTGCTATTTTGAGAACTGCCTCTACTGAATGGAGTAATTTTTAGTTACAAAAGTCATTGGCTTAGCCCAGCTAGTGTGGCTCAGTGGTTGACTACTGACCCATGCACCAAGAGGTCGCCAGTTCGATTCTCGGTCAGGGCACATGCCCAGGTTGTGGGCCAAATCCCTAGTGGGGCGCGTGCAGGAGGCAGCCAGTCGATGTTCTCTCTCATTGACATTTCTCTCTCTCTCCTCCTTTCCCTTCCTCTGCCTCTAAAATCAATAAAGAACAAAAACTTTCATTGGCTGAAAGACCCAGGCACCACTGATCGTATTTTAATCCCTTATGCATAGTAGCCACATAATGGGACAGGAGTCAGCCTACAGGGGCTAGACTGTAGATGCTCTAGCCGGACAGGCCCCTCTCTGATTCACAGCATGCTGAGAGCCAGCACAGATCCGGGTACTTACACTGTTCAAATGAAAAAAATTCCTGTACTCTGAATATAACAATCATTTGGGGTTCCAAATATGTATTTGGTGTCACTGTTTAGGATCTTTAAATGCATATCACATTAATAAAATGTGCCAATATTAAATGTACATAAATGCTTCGCCAAAAAAATGTTCTAGATGACTTTAAACTCTATCCAAAATTAAAATAAAAATTTTAAAAAACTTTCTAATACTTTTTCATTACACTGAACTCAACGCAGCATTTCATTACCATTGATAAGTACCAGCAATACTCACATGGAGTAGACTTCCCTGAGGTAGACTTGAGCTAACTGTGTCATTAACCTACTCTTTAAATTTAGCAAATCACTTAACCTCTAGGCGTCTGCTTTCCATCAGGGAAGCAGAGATGACAATGGCCTGCCCTGGACATCTGAAGTAGCAGTGGAGGGGGGGAGGAGGGAGAACATTAGAAAAGCAACCAAGCCCTGGCCGGTTTGCTCAGTGGTTAGAGCGTCAGCCTGCAGTCCAGAGACACCCGGGTTCAGTTCCTGCCAAGGGCACGTACCTCGGTTGCAGTTTGTCCCCAGCCCTGGTTGGGTCATGCATGTGGCAACCACTTGATGTGTCCCTTTCACGTTGATGTTTCTCTCTCTCTCTCTCTCCCCCTCCCATTCTATCTGAACAAAAAACGAAAAAAATGTCCTCAGGTGAGGATAAAATAAAGGAAAAGCAACCCATACTGAACACCGGCGTGTACTGGGCATGTTGAGGCATCTTCACACACATTATTTCGGAGCTTTGGTTTTATTTCAACGTAAAATGGAAATTCTAATTCTTGTATTTTAATAGTGTTAGAAGGAATTAAAATAGTATCCATTGCACACCTGGCACAGTATCTGACACATGTCACAGCCTCTGAGATTGCTGTTAATTGATGTTTCAAACATTGCACAACCAGAAAACGGCAGCACTAAGATACTTTTGCCAAAGTTTTTAAAGTATATTACACCACCAAGTTAAATGATATAGTAGCATCATAATTAGGATGTAAAGTAGTATTATTAATATTGTTTATATTACTATCGTCTGTATCTTTTCAAAACACAGCAACAGCCCGGCTGGTGTGGCTCAGTGGTTGAGCATGGACCCACGCACCAAGAGGTCGCCGGTTCGATTCCCAGTCAGGGCGCATGCCCAGGTTGTGGGCCAAATCCCCAGTGGGGGGCATGCGGGAGGCGGCCAATCACTGTTCTTTCTCATCGATGTTTCTATGTCTCCCTCTCTCTAAAATTAATAAAGAAAATAAAGTAAAACAAAACATACTATAGGCTTTCTTTAAATGCATTTTGCTGGAATTGTGGAATAGCAGAAATGTCTCAAGGCTGGAATGGAGCAGACCAAGTTCTAAATTCAACTTGGCTACTAACTCGCTGGATGAACTTCAGCAGGCAACTCTTCCTTAATCTCCCTCGACTTCTCTGAATTCTCAGTTCTATCAAGGTATAAAAATGTGTTATGTTTAATGTTCTTAAGAGAATAACATAAACTGGGCAGTGAAGGTAGAAGAATTTAAAACACAAGAAGTCACAGCCAATTAAAAGTCAGTCCTAAGTGAAAACCTCGTATTTGAATGTATAAAATAGGTTCATTGGAAAATATGGTTTCATTTGTAATTGTAGGTGGATTCATGCCACCTTTTGGGAACAGATTTAAAAAATTTTTTTATTTTTTTCTCTTTTTTACCAAGTACAATAAGAATTATGTTCTTAGAGTGACAACAGGTTCCACGCAATGTCTGATAGGAAGTAGACTAAGTTTGAACGAAGTTGGTCACAAAGTCACACATGAACCTGGAGGTTTTTCTGTATCTGGGAATGCTACAAATTAGCTATGCCACTGAACATAGAAAATCAGAACTAAGCCCCAAATCTCTGCTTATATTGGCTTTTGAATACTCCAGACTGCTCAAGTACAGCCAGCCAGTCCAGAAATGCACACTTAAGTACGACTCATTGGCTTCCTGTCTGTCCGGAGATGTCAACAGGCTGTAAATCACGACGTTCCCCTCGGGTTGGGGGCCCGCACCTGCAAGCCAACTCAGTCACCAAAGAGGTCTATTTTCCTGCTCTCCAAAAGGCTGCTTCATTATGGTTTCCATGATTAACTCTGTACACTTCACATTTCTCCTTTGTCTGTGAGCATTTCACAAATTTATCCTGTTTCTACTGCTTTCCAACGACAAGGTTTTGGAGCTTTGGGGGAGAAGCAGCTGCTGGAGCTATAAACTGAGCAAGTGTCGCACTGAAGCAAGAGGGTTGAGTCCACTGAAACCAAACCCTCACATCTGTATATCCCTGTGATGAGAAGGAGGGTGACTACTGAAAGGGCAGTACCTTTTTTGGGGGGGGGTCCCACTAAAATAGTGCAAAGTGCTAGGAAAGGATCCTGTGTTTCATGACTTCATGATGAAATTCCAGAAATGGACTGTTCATTTCTTCTGGCATGGGACACAATTGTTGAGATTGCTCTAGATGAAATAATTGAGCCCCAAACTGAGCCCTGAATGAGAAAATTTACTCAAACTATTTAGTAAACTACACTTTTCAAACAAAAGACATCTGGGGCCAATTTTACTAATTAGAGGGACAAACTCTACTAGTTAGAAACTCACCCCTTTAAAAGCATGTAACAGATAATTTAGAGATTATTGCTAGATAGTGTTTGCTCAATTTTTTTTTTTTTTTTATTTTTTATCCTCACCCAAGGACATTTTTCCATTTTTTGTTCAGGTAGAGTAGGAGGGGGAGAGAGGAACAGAGAGAGAGAGAAACATCGACGTGAAGGGACACATCGAGTGGCTGCCACCCGCACGACTGACCAGAGCCTGGGACAAACTGCAACCGAGGTACATGCCCTTAGCGGGAACCGAACCCGTGTCTCTCGGGACCGCAGGCCGATGCTCTAACCGCTGAGCCAAACCGGCCAGGGCTCAATTTTTATTCTGTCTTAAAAACATTTAAAGATAGATTTAGATTTAGAAGGAAATTTTATTTATGTGAAAACCTGTGATATTCTTAGTAATCAGAGTCAAGTGCTTTAAATAGGATGAATTAATTAATAAGCCTTGTATACGAATATTTTTCTTTTAAGTAACATTTCATTGGGTCATAGCTTAACATAGGAGACTAACAAAATTATTTGTAAAGTATATTTCTTTTGAATGGTCATAAATTTTGTTCAAAATCATGGAAGTTCTCAAATATAAAAATATAAAAAGCTCCACTATGATGCTGAATATTGATTATGGCCCCAAACCAAAATATCAAGTGTTTTACTTTTATTGTAAAACTAATCTTAATTCTTCAGTCTGTAAAAAAGGTTGAATTCATAATAACTTCTTTTAAAAGAATGATTATCAAAACACTGTCATTAAAAAGATCTTTGAGGTTTTATTGACCTGCTTTTACTGTTTTACTTTTCAGAGGGCAAACATGCATATTTTACACCCAGAAACCGACATGGTTTCTGCAGTATTAATGGAGGGATTTCACTCTCTAGTGATAGCTCTATTTCGTTGAAAATAAAAGAAAGTTTTACTCGTGAGAACAAAAAGAAGTGGTCTCGTTCTCCCATCTCAGAACTCGAAGGAGCCCACAGCTCTCAAAGGGGCTTCCCTGAGTGTTCCCACGCAGGAGAATATGGCAGAGAATCAGAAACATTTTGAAAATCCTATCCAAAGTGATGCGGAGGCTTTTAAGATGACATTTGTGTAATTTGAGAAGGAAATGTTCAGAATCAAATATGAAAAAGCATCATGTACCAGTGATAAAATAAACACAAGGTTGTATTGGGGACTTTGCCATGCTCAAAACACATCTGTTGCATGAAAAAATGAATGTTGTGATTCTTGAGAGCTCTCCCAAAATCACTTTTAGTTTTGGCTAAAACTCTCTTAATAACTTATGTAATCCCCCCTGGAGGAGTTAGGGGAGAAAGAAGCACAAAAAAGGATCTAAATATAGGTTTATTATACGTACAAATAATGTAGGAGTAAAATGAGACTGGGGATAAATTTTCCTTTCATTCCCTTAAAATGCTTCAACATAGGGCTAAAATAGTGAGATTTGGGTTTATTGGTTTGCCATTTATAAAGCACAACTGAACTTCCATTAAAATAAATCTTCAAATGTACAGAGAAAAACTTCAATAGAGACTGATACTTAAATGTTCAACCTGTCTAATTCATATTCAACTGTCTAACCTTATGCCCACACAACAAAAGTAACACCCTGAATGATTTCTTAGCATATGTTCTCCTTTTCAGTTTAAGGGTGCAATACTTCACACCACTCAAGTAGGTCAAGAAAATAGAAAGCAAAATTTACAAATTGAGTACTGTGTTATCTTGCTCCTTAGATAACTCCTTTATGCAATTAGTAATATTTTCTTTGTAACATGAATAAATACTGCTTTCATCAGCTTGCATTGTCAAAAGAATAGAGAGAAATGGAGCAAACCATTCTCATCACAAATAGTAACAATAATAATAATAATAATCAATGGCAGGAGGAAACTTTTGCAGGTGATGGATATGTTTATGGCACAGATTGTGGGGCTGGTTTCACAGATTTATACTTATCTCCAAATTCATCAAGTTGTATACATTAAATACATACAGATTTTGGTAGGTCAATCATACCTCAATAGAGTGGTTAAAAAAAAAAAGAGCAAACCAGTATCTCAAAATATTTGGGAGAAAAAATGTAAAACTCTTCATATAATGTTTTACCTTTAAAATGACCAGACCCACTGTGATTCCCTTTCATTAACCAAGATTTTAATTTGCTTTATATACTATGGCAAGGGGCAATTTATGCCAGATGTTGAGCTGGGGGAAAGGCAATTTCTATAGGGATTTTGTCATTGGGCATTATGTCTTTTCCTTTGATGACGTGATCATAGTTTAAATGTTCAGTTCAGCGGGTTTCCTGATCAAAGTGTTCAGGTAACAAAAAGTATAATTACAAAAAAATAAATAAATCCAGGAAACAGGCAAATAATATAAACTAAATACGAAGAAAAGGAAAATCCTCAACTAATTCTCCAGAGAGTGCAACTCCTTCTCTCTACCTCTGTATCTCAACTTTCAGATTCATGATGCTTGTTTCATATAGTTAAAATATTAAAGCAATGATATATAAGCTGGCATTTTAGAATATCCTGACAGTATAATCAAAACAAACAACTAAACAAAAAGTGTTTTGCCTAATCTGTTCAGTAGGGTCTCTAGACCACCCATGTTTCTTTTACTCTACCTCTCAATGGCTGCAGTCATTAATTGAGATTTTACTGTTTTGTGTTTTCCTCCCCTCTGTATTTTTAACTTCCCCCTTTAGGGGATATCTGCTGAGTCCTTGGTATTCCTTTGACTCACAGCTCTGTGTCCTGTAGGCCAGAAGCTCCATGTCTGGTGGAAGGGTGGCCTGGCAGAGTTCTAGAAGCAACAGCTACCTTTGTCTTACTCGCTCACGGAACACAAGAAGGTGGCAGCACACAAAGGGATGGAGTCCTAAGTAACTGCCGGGCTCTACAAGCTTGAACTGTGCCTACGTATTCGAGACCTGAGTGGACTGAAGACTTGGGGACCCTCTCTAAAGGCCTTCACACAATATCTGGGACTGATGTGGGAGGGCACAGAGCAACCTCCAAATGTCTCCAACTGACCTTTTCACTCCTTTGAGTGGAGCATAAGTCATATTTAATTTGAGAAAAAAAATTTAATTAATGCAATCTTTCTCACACCCAATTATTGTGGTATAATGCATACCTGATAAAACAATTTTAAAGATAATGTTGACTGTGATATTTTAAAGAACTTGGGGCTACTTCTTTTGATTACAGGTTCATTTTAAAAAATTTTTTAAATTGATTTCAGAGAGAGAGGAAGGGGGGGAGAGAGAAACATTGATAAGAGAGAAACATATATCAGCTGTCTCCTGCATGTCTCCTATTGGGGATCGAGCCTGCAAACCAGGCATGTACCTGACCAGGGACTGAACCAGTGACCTCATGGTGCATAGTACGACATTCAATCCACTAAGCCACACCAGCTAGGACAGGCTAATTATTTATTGGATCAAATGAAAGCCTATTAATTGGCAGAAATTTTTCTACCCATTGCTGTAATTTGCAAATGTGCACACTGTGTATTTTCTTTTCCTTGATTTTCTTTATAAATTTCTCTTTGTGAATTTACACCCAGAACTAGCTCTCACTTTATCTTATTGGTTCATCTGATCTCAACTCTGAAAGTCTACCTAGATCTGGATGAAAAAACATCTTTTAATTTATTCTGAATTTTAATTTTGCATTAAGACTTCTTCAAAGATTTAAGTCTTCATTTCTAATTTTTGAGGCTTCATAGAACTGTCCTGCTTGGAGGTTTGCAAGATACTAAAGAAAAGATGAAATAAAGTCATCTTAACTAATAAAGTCCCTTCCTCTGCTTATTGAAATATACTTACAATTTCTATAATTGCTTCTTGTTTATTTTTGCCAGGAGACAAAGATTTCAAAAAAGATCTCTACATAAGAATAATAATATTCTATGTTGTTCTATCATCAAAATATGGAGAATGATTTAAAAATTATTCCTGCACTAAGAATTGGGGGGAGGTGAAGCTGAGAGATGTGATGTTGAATGGGGCAAAATGAGGAATAACGAACAAAAGGGGAAAACCGAACATTAGTAAAGGGTAAAGAGGAAGAGAGGGGATGAAGGATTAAGAAAAGAAAGTAATGGAGATAGACTTTCAAATAAGGAAAGAGTAATTGTCACATAAAGGCTTATGTACAAGACGTTCCCCAAATCCCCCAAAGAGAGTGGCTTTGACAATGAGTATAATGTGAAGAACATCGGTGGCATGCTTTTAGTTTGAACGACTGCTCTTGGGATGCTGGTACTGATCACATTTGAAGGAACAGCTTCTCAATATGTTCAACATCAGCAATAAAAAGTCATCACGCTTCTTAGATGCTTGGATACTGACATGGTCCATGTCTAGACATAGTAGCAGTAGTGTGACCTACCTGGCTGCAATCCGGCCCAGCTCTAGCAAACAGAGACACACTTCTCTGGGTTGCTTGTGAAGAACTGAAAGACAGGACAGAGGTGAACACATTTACAATAGAAAGGATTGTAAAGCAGCTACTTAATGGTGAACAGGCTTGCCAATGACCCCCTCATCTCTCCTGCTCCCAGGAAATAGCTAGTCTTCATTTTAACATTCACAAAAAAAAAAACAGCCTACCTAACAGAAGACTCTGCTTTACTAAAGAGTCAAAGTAGTTTACAAAACTCTTTGGCCCATCCACCTCCCCAAAGCCATTAATTTAGGAAATCTCAACCTATGTAAACCTCACCCTGATATTATTTTATTTAATTAGTTAATTTTAGTAAGTAAATATTGAAAACATGTGACTATAATGATGATATAAATAGTTGATAGATATTTTTTAAAATATAGCACACAAGACTATGGAGCAAAGACTGCTCTTTTAAAATTCTTGGTTTACCTTCACTAGTGATTTTGGCAGAAATAATGCAATGAATAAGAATAGAAATTACACATCACCATTCTTTGTTATCGTTTAAGCAAAGATGTCAAATGAGAGCCTGAAACTTAATGTCCTCTCCTAACCAAATCTGGCCAAGTAATAATTTAGGAAGAAATACTTTCAACGGACTGGATTTTGTAAATATACACCAATATATGCCATCAGCCAGCTCTACTCATAAAATGAGCAAATTATAAGACTATTATTTGTACTGATATTTTTATTCTGATATAATCTGATTACTTAATAAATCTTGACCAGTTGTTTGGACACATTCAGTAAAGTTGACAAATCATACCTGCATTTGTTGAGCCTACCAGAAGAGTACACACTGCTTATACTATTCTCTTTTAGAAACATGATTAGAGAATTTTTAAGTGTTATTTTATACAATGCCTGATAAGGACAACAGATACTGGGAAAATATTGCATTAGAATGGTCTTGATATAGACATAGTTAATATCCCGATTAAAAAATATATTAGCTTATTGATAAACATTAAGAAACATATTTATTCAATTCTTAAACATAAAATTTTATAACTCAATATCCCAGCATTATTCCATTCCTTTGATTTAAACATCAAATTCCTTCTTGACACAGATTAAGGTGGTGTCAATATTCAGTCCATGGACACCACACTGGAATTTGTTGGAAGTGTGTGGTGATTAGAAAAGTACTCTTACTTGTTGTAAGTATATTGTTTCACTTAAGTTCAAACAGAGACAAATTTTTATCTAGGTAGAAAATGTCATTTTTAAAGCTTTTAAAATAAATTCTAATCCCATTCACAATGTTCATTAAAACAGAGTTGATTATGGGATTTTTGAATTATAGAATATTTCTTTCTTGGTAATACAAATTTAAGTTTCAGCTGGCTTTAGTAAATTGTCACAAAACCCTAATTGGGGAAGCCTAAGACTACTTTTAATTAAAGGGACTTAAAATAAAGATCCTTAATACCTCCAATGTCAAATGCATCATTCATTGTTTCTGGCTAGAATGATACAAACTTCACAATCTCCACTATATTAAATCAGCTTCAGTGCAATGTAAACCGTGGACTGTCATATCACATAGTCATCCATTTCAAACAGGGAACAATAACAAACATCACAAAACAGAAGCAAACAAATAGAAATCAATCTTCCTGTTTAGATAATCAATTTCTTTTTATTTGAAAAAAAAAAATTTTTTTTAATTCTGTTCTTAGTACTAAATAACAAAGAGGAGTTTTTATTGGGAAAAAAGAATACATGAAAACTGAGGAGAAGAAGAAGGTTAAGGTCCTGCCTAATACCCTCATCTCCAGTGAAGGGAAGCTGTGTGAAGCAGTGGTTAAAGTACCAGGAGCTTGAGATACAATCTCATGCATTTCTTGATGAAAACAGTGTCAAAATGTGAAAAATTTTGGTGGTCCAACTAAATTGTGTCAATGTGCAATCATTGACCAGCTATAAAAAGTAATACCTGACTCATGAAAGACAATGTGATATGTAGGAGGCATCACTAGTGTGTTTTTCTTTGTTTCCTCAATAGACCTATCCATTTAAAACAACTTTTGTATTCCCAAACTCAAATGTCAAATCTACCATGGATGCATTAGAAATTTAATTTGGCAAAATGAAAAGTAATTGAATGATTCTTCATTTATATCCTTAACAGAATCAGCCTATAAAATTTAAGACAAATAAACCCTTTCCTAAGCGTCATTTCTTGGGAAAATGCTAATAGAAAGATAACATTTTACTTCCCAGTATTTTTAGAAATATTTTTTATGAAGCAATAAAATCACTTCAAAACACACCTATAATATTATCTCACATGTTAATGACTTTTTAAATATTAGGCATATTATACCTGGTCTATAATAGCCAAAAAAAAAAAAAATTGATGACTAGTAAGCAATAAATAAGATAAATCTATAGAGTTGCATAACTTAGCATAGTGCCTAGTACAGAGTAATAAACTATACAGTATGTATGATATCTCATACTATCGAGGATGATGTAAATTATGTGGTGATGACAGTGATCGTGACAATGAATTAACTGTTAAAGATTAAACTCTTACCTAGCATTTTTAGAAAAGGCAAGATATAAATTATGTAAACATTTATTTAATAAGAACAACTCTTACCTTATTGCTATAAAATCAAATTTAAGAATTTTAAATAGTATCTACATTATACCTAAGAGGTGACTGGTTTTGTACAAGGCAAGTTCTAACCTCAAGTTCATAGATGGAGAATGTAATGGCTGAGGGGGATAATACTATATATCACCCAATAATTGTGTGAAGATCACACAAAATAATATTTATTATTATTCTTTGCACAGTGTGTAGCACATAGGAAAGATCTGTTCAAGGTTAGTTTTATTTTTATTTTCATTTTTATAAACTATTTCCTTGAAGATTATCTTCAATTGACTTAGTCAAAATTAATTCACTTTTTTTTCCTCCAAGCATTCTTTTGTGCACCTATCTTGTCTTAGTCACTATACTAAGCAATGAAAGAAACTTTATAATTAAAAAAAACACATTACTATTGGTATATTTGTATAATTTAGAGTGGTTCTATTATATCTGAATATTTTATCATTAATCAGAAACAGTAAATTCTAAGTTAAATCAAATTTCAAGTTAAATAAGTCAATTTGGCCAGTATATATAGACAGACATAAAGCACATATCCTATAGCTATTATGATTTTGGGCTAAGTATAAGGTTTAATTAAGTAACAGTTACATTAGGATATGTCATTTTATGAAAGACCAAACATCTTACTATTAATTTGCTCTGTCCCTGAGAACAAAATAATTTAGATGAGTCTATTTTCAATAAATTATCATAATGATTATATACTATATATTTTAGAAGATTAAATAACTAAATGCATGTCTCTGTCAGAATGAGTAGAAAGGCAACGTTTAATATACTGCATTTCAACGAAAGCCTTTGTATTGAGTCATATGTCCTACTCATTTTAAACTCATTTACTGATTAATCTTTTCAAAAACATGTCAGAATCTTCTCTTTTACTGAAGTTGACAGTAGGAAACATTTTTTCACTTCGTCAGTATAACATGAACATGGCCTTGCACTTTGAGTTAAGGGTAGCAGAGGTGATCACCGCTGCTTTCTTTTCTCTGAAAAAAATTCTCTTTAAAAACAAATAAAAAGCTCTCTAGTCAATGGTGATTATTTTGCAAAAGGTTTTATCACCGGAGGCTTCTTTATAAATAATCAAAACTATTTCAAAGAAAAGTATAATGCAGAACACCTCTGGGAAAAGTAACACAGATCCCTATTCAAAAATATGTGGCAAGAGACTCAATCTTATAACCTAGATTCTATAAAAATCTCATGGGCATCAAATGTCAAATAGAAGGCTGCTGGCTCCAGGAATAGAAAATGAGGCCTTCCACTAAAGCAGGGGGTAGAGTTTCAATGTCACAGTGTCTGCAAGGACAAAATGCATTGGACCATAAATGTATAGTTTAGCTAACTATATTAAGTTTTAACAGATGAGCAAAGAAATGAAAGCATGAAAAACTGTCTTGTCCACTTAGTTCCCATACATTAGAGGCTGCACCATTCACGTTGGTCTTGAAGGAAACTGGTTTTAAGATTTATATTTAGGAAAAAAATGGAAATTATATTTTTGGCTGAATATTGTTTAATTGTAAAAGATATCATAAGCTAGTGGCTGCTCACATTTCCCGAGTAGAGAACAGGTTTTAATATTTAGGAAAACTGGTTTGGTTGAAGAGAAATAAACCAGAAGTCAGGAGTGGGCTCTAGCGCAGGATGTATAATTTTCTCATCTCTCATCTCTCTCTAATTTTCTCAACAGGTGTCTTGTCTTCCTTATGAGGTAATTGTATGGTTAAGAGCCCTTGCCAGATGGGCTCAATAAATGTTACTCTCTTGCTACTAAAGTGTGGTCCACAGATCAACAGCCTTGCCATCAGTGGGGAGCTTGACAGAAACAAAAAGTTTTGGGTCCCACCCCAGACTTACTGATCAACAGCTACATTTAAACAAGCTCTCCAGGTGCTGAATATGCACATTAAAGTTTAAGAAGCACTGTATTAAACAATACTATAATTATATGATACATGTCAGTTATAACGCCTATAGCTACAGGGTGGGCAAAAGTCAGTTTACAGTTGTGAGTACATGAAACACATGCATTTATTCTTGTTTATTATTTATTCTTATATTATCTGTTTTTCCATACAAACGACTGTAAACTGACTTTTGCCCACCCCTATACTTTGTTGAAACTATTCGAAAGTGTTTTGATATATGAAGTATGCTCTAAAAATGTTTAGGGTAACAGTGGTGAGGATGATGGATAAAGGGGAAAACTGTGTGCATTCAATTAGCCTTGAATGGGCATTATGGGCATTTTTCTCCTGCCAGGATCTGTAAGGTACAAAAGATGCCACCCTACAAAGCGAAGGGATAGTAACAAACTGCTCTCAGCCATCATGTGGCTCCCAGGAAGATGATACAGGAATCTTTGAGTT